AAACTAACAGACAAAATATGTTGCTGGTTAGCAGAATATATTTTTTAAACCTCCCTTTTCCAAACTGAAACCTGAACAAAGGAAATTCATTTCTGTGAAGGATAGTACCCAAGCAACCTGACAGTACTTTGCTGTTATATATACCATTGTGTGTCCCATATTTTTCCGGACTCTACAGCGAGTCTGCAGTACAAATGGGGAGGGTATTTTATCATGCAAGAAGGATGTCCATCAGCCCCGTCTCTTAAGGGTGCATGAGAGGAAAGATCTTCTTGTGGGCTGGGTTCCAGGAGATCTGGGTTCAGTTCCCAGCTCTGCCACAGACTTTCTGTGTGATGCTGGGCAAGCCACTGAGGTGGAAGGCTCCTTATTTAGTCCAACATTTAGGCACATCTGGTGGTAAAACGGTTGAGCCATCAGGCTTGTCTGACTGTCTATGAAATTTCTTTTGGGGGCAGGAGTATATACACCCAGGGAGTGGAGGGTGGCACTGGAGTCCTTCAGGATACGCAAAGATTCACCTGTCTAATGATTAAATAGAAGTGTCATCGAAGGACAGATCCTCCACTGTTTCTGAACCTCCCTGGGAAACCCTGAAGCATGAACCCATGATTCCCTGCACATTGCAATGGCTGTAGCCATCACCCCTGAAGATGTCTCAGATGCATCTATCACTGATGGAAGACTGGTCCCGGCAACAATCTTGCCTTCTTCTATAAAAGCCTGAAAACGAGCTCTGTCCTGCTGCGGCAACTTCTCAGCAAAGTCCACAGATTCTGAATAGTTCAGGAAATCGTACTTAGCCATCAGTGCTTGGTAGTTGGCTGTCCTGAACTGAAGGCTAGAAAAAGAAAAGACCTTCCTTTGCAATAAGTCAAGATGTTTGCCTTCCTTATCAGTCAGAGTAGATCATGAGTGTTGCTACCTAGATTTCTCCATGGACCACTAAAGGGTTTGCGGCAGCATGAGAGAACAGACATTCCAGCCCTTTGCTGGGACATGGTAATGTTTCTCTGCCCTCTTAGGAGTAGGGGCATAAGTAACTGGGGAATGCCAGACCACTCTAGCTGACTCCAGTATGGCTTTATTAACAGGGAGCGCTATTTGACTGGAACCAAAGAATAGCAGGATGTCCAGGAACTTATGCTGAGGATCCTGAACTTCCTTAAGAGGAATCTGAAACTCCTCTGCAATTCTACAAAGAAGTTCTTGGAACTGCTTATAGCGATCAGAAGGATGGAGACATCGGAGCCACCACCTCATCTGGGGATGAAGATGACAATCTTGTTGGTTCCAGTGGAACTGCTGGGTCCGGCATGTGTTCCTCCTCCTCCTCAACTGGATTAGGAGGCAGCTCTGGTTGCCCTCTCAGACAGGTGGATGAGATGGCTCCCTAGTACATGGACCGACATGGAGGCAGGGCCGGCTCCAGGGTTTTGGCCGCCCCAAGCAGCCAAAAAAAAAAAAAAAAAACCAAAAAAACCCCAAAACCGCGATCGTGATCGCGATCTGCGGCAGCAATTCGGCAGAAGGTCCTTTGCTCCAAGCGGGAGTGAGGGTCCGTCCGCCGAATTGCTGCCGAATAGCTGGACCTGCCGCCCCTCTCTGGAGTGGCCGCCCCAAGCACCTGCTTGCCAAGCTGGTGCCTGGAGCCGGCCCTGCATGGAGGGATGGTAAGGGTCACATGGCTCTGAATAAGGCCAATAAAATGAATTAGATGAAGGTGGCAGAGGTCCTCATGGCATGGGGTACTAACAGCTGTGAGGCAGATGATGAGATGGAGGTTGATCCTAAGCTGGTTCAGGCCTCCTGTCTGGGAAGGCATGTTTTGGAGGAGGAATTAATGGTTCATCGCGTAGTTCAGAATCTTTTGAGGAAGAGAAAGCCGTAGTCAGCCCACCTTGGTCAGAGGTATGCCGAATTCTGCTTTCAAAATTCTTCTGCTCCAGGTGCTTGGAACACATGTACCCACAGTGGAATACACACAGGGATCAACACTCGAAGACAAATACACAGTATTGATTAAGCCTTTGCTGAGAATGCTTTAAAGGGAACTGGCGATGCAATCTGTTCCAAGCCTTTCGTGGTACGTATCGATGCAATCCATGATGAAGCTTGCAAAGAATTAGTGTTACTAGTATGGTATTTAATGGAGAGGAAGGAATGGTAGTGGAGAGATTTCTAGATTTAAATAAATGTAATATAGGTATCAATGTATCCATATTTGAGAAGATAAATGAATGCTTTCGAGAACATTTCATTCCATGGGAGAATCTAATAGAATTCTCCAGTGATAATGCCTCTATAAAGAAGGGAGTTAATCACTCTGTTCTTACAGAACTAAAAGGAAAGCAAACCAAGGTTTATAATGTTGGGTGTCCATACCATCTGATTCACATTGTGGCTAACAAAGCTACAAAGATGTTAGCAGTAGATGTTGACAATACAGTAACTAGAGTATATGGTCACTTCTCAAGAAGCTCTAAAAGAAAAGAAATACTGAAAGAATTTGATGATTTTTGCAGTGTAGAAAGCAGAATTTTTTTGGACCATGTGCTAAGTCGAGGGCTAAATTTGCAGCATTGTTTAACCAGACTACTTCAGCAATATCTAGCTTTGAAGGCATATTCCCCCCCCCCCCCCCGTTAATAAAGATCCTGGTGTAAAATCTCAAACTAATCTTTGAAAATCTACAAATTGAACTGTATTACCTGTTTTTGCATAATGTTTTGCCTGTGTTTGATAGTTTGTATGAGATGCTGCAAAGTGAAGCCCCTCTCGCCCACTGCTTGCATGACACCATTATGCACCTGTTCCAAAAGATCTTTGGAAGATACATAAAGCCATCCTGTCTCAAAGAAACAAAAGAATTGTCAAAGGTAGATTTCTTAAATCCAGAAAACCAAGTGGAGGAGAACAAATTGTTTGTTGGATTTTGTGCCTCACCATTCCTGAAGTCTGAAGAAATTTAATGCAGTGCTCATTGTGACACTATCCGTAAAAGTTTTTACTCTGATGTGAAGTGAATGAATGCGAAGCTATGGAAGCTCTTCTGGAAAAACTTCAGAGAAGGATGACATTTTATAGTCTTTGTGTTAGATTTCAGGAAGAGAAGCAGACATGAATTTTCTATTCTAGTGAAGACACTGACAACCTTTCCAGTAATTCCCACAGAAGAAATGGACAGCCTCAACAATGAATTTGTTACCTCCCAGTTAACAAAGAAGTTTTAATTTGAAACAGAATCAATGCTAGTGACGTCTTTTTGCAACAAGATGAGTGAACTAAAAAGTCCAGTGTCAGGGACACCACAGTTTCCACTGCTTTCCAAAGCTATCTGAGTTTTGTCTCATAGCAATGCTGGATGTGAAAGGATTTTCAGCATATGTGCAAAAATTTGCACCCATCAGAGAAATGAAATCAAAACTAGGACACTAAGGGGTGTACTTGCCACCAAAATGAATTTGTTTTGCAAACAGTACTGTTACCAGCTCTATCCGAGCAAGGAGAGGCTGAAGAAACCAAGAGTGATATGTTCACAGTACTTCAACAAGATAATTAATAAAGTAAATACATGTTTCTATGGTATTATTTAGCAAAGTAATAATATAAAGGAACTTCTATAGTGTGTCTATTCAGATAGGCTTTATTAGCAAATTAAATACCACCACAAATCTCCCTGAAATTATTTTGGAAATGTTGGTCAGTATGGATATCTGAGACAGAAGGCAGAACTGAACCAGAGTCTCCCATGTTCTGGGTGACTACCAGTGTTGGTGGGAGGGGGCTTCTCCTCTGTTTTTCTTGAGAAAGGGATGACCTGGCTTAGGCAATGAATTCCAGGAAAGGCTTCATGGCTGTGAATCCCAAGTGGAGAGAGATGCCTCCATTAGGCCTGGAGTTAGGCACCTACCACCTACTGAAGAGCGGGGTTTAGGACACACCCTTCTCCTTGGCATTTCATACTGGCTATCTTGGGCAGCTCCCAGCTCAATCTGCTGCCTTTTGTGAATCCTATCTTTAGGCAACTAATTCTCCCCTTGTATAGGGAGCCCAGGTGCCTAACTCAGGGCTGTGAATTCCACTTGGTGGCAAAGTGCCTTAAAGTTAGGCTTTGCAATGCTGAGCCTAGTCCCCCATGTGACTCTCATGCTGAATCTCTCAGTGCCTCAGTTCCTAGCTGTAAAATGGGGCCAAAAACACTTCCTTTGGCTGTACAGACTGTAAGCTCTTCAGCACAGGGAGAGTCTTCTACTACGTATGTGCAAAGCACCCTCTGCAACAGGGGTCTGATCTCTGGACGTTAGGTAGTACTGTAATACTACTGCTGATAAGGAAGGGTATGAGTCCATCTCTTCTCCTATAGCTGTATGGACTCTTTAGACCTAAGTGGAATAAAAAGTACTACAAAAACTTACTCGTGGGTGTGAAATTAAGCAGGAGTGGCTCTGAACATACACAAAGAGCAGATCTATTGAGTAAGAAGATGCTATTTTTGAATAGTCACTTTCCAGAGTAGAATTGCTTGTTAACATCACTGCAGATTCTAAAGCTTTTGTTGGTTTTTTTGGGGGGCGGCGTAAAGAAAACGAGTTTTATATCTCTGAAAATAGATATAAAATTCGCAGAAAGATGCTGTCCATTACAAACCCTTAATGGGTGATATGTGAAAGGCTTTTCTTGATGCCTCACCTGGAGAGACTGATTTCTGAGAAGGGAAGGCCTATTTGTGGTGTATTGGTATCTAACCAGTTTCAGACTAGTACAGCAGGGTGTAATACCACTTACAATGACAGCAGAATAAAGATATACTGCGAGATATATTGTTTTCAACAAAGCATACCTTTGAAAAATATATTCAGTCTTTCAAAGGTTATATTAGCGAAGGTTTAAAATGTGGAAATCAAATATATTTGTATTTTTTAAAACAAAGATGAACCATCCAAGGCATTGCTAATTATTAAACCAGAAGAAAGCTTAATTGCCATTCTGGACGATCTTCCTCAGGAGTCGGAGTCTTGACATTACCACATCCCAGTCTGCATAAGCACCTTCGAGGTGACGGGATATTTCTGTTCCTGATTGGTAGCTCCGGCGACCATGCAGTAAACGCCAGTTGTCAAATGTTACTATGTCTCCTACGAAGAGATTAAACAACGTACTTCACAACTTTGTCATGTTTTCCATCATTTCAAATATATAACACATTGAAGTTCTTTAAATGCATTTGTCTGAGTGTCTCTTAAAACCCACAGCCCCAAAACACCTGTTCCCCACAACTGAGAAATGTAAACATTCCTAGAAAGCACAACATTCCATCACTTACATCTGTCTGTGCCTGGGGTAACTGAGCACCTCATAATCATTAATATACTGATGCTCACAACATCCCAGTGGCATTGAGCAGTGCTATTATCACCATGTTACGGATGGGAACTGAGACAGAGAGGGACTAAGTGACTTGCCCACAGTCATCCAGGAAGTCTATGGCTGGGAATTGAATTCAGGTATCTCAAGTCTCAGGCTGGAGCCCTAGCCACTGTATCTCCTGCAAACTGCAACGCCCTCCCTCATCACTAGGGTTATAGAGGCTGCAGGAGTACCACAACTCTATGGCTGGAATAACCACTTTGCATGGATCCAACCAGCACAGAGAAAGGGGTCTGACATGAAATAAAATGACTTCACCAATGGTGGCAATGCAGCACAGCCTCTACTCCCCCACCCTACTCCTCTCTGCTGCCTGAAGGGGGGGGTGGGAGGGGAGGAATGTACAGGGTATCCAATTCATCATTGTAGGGGACAACCACAGCACAGAATGGAGCTAGGAGGCTCTCACTCCTCAGTCAGGGACCACTCACATTTGGCCAAGTTCTCAGCCTTTGAAAAACTGCAGTTTGCACCTCAGATACCAACTTTCACGTGGTAAATAAGCACCCCAACTTTCACAATAAGCCAAAAATCAAGCTAATCCCATATCAAAACAAGGCCAAAACAACCTAATCCCTAAAACCCCCAACACTGTATGTGACTAGATCCCCCTGACGTGCAGTCAGGGACAGTGGTGGGCCCGCTGTGCACCCCTGACTCTCTCCACCTCTGGCCCCTGCTTGCCAGGAACCGATCAAAAAAAAAAAAAGCAACAAGCTGCAACAAGCTACAAGCCAAAAACTAGCCAACAAGCAACTCACAAGCCAATTAGCCCAACTTTCTGCGTTTTTTTCATGGGTTTGGCATGTCTGGTTTGCACATGCTCTGAAGCAGCTTCTTAATAGTCTGGGAGATAAATTCTTCAAAGGTTCTGCTGGTACTGAACACACATACACATGGAGCTGTGAGGCTCTTGAGTGACTGCACTGCACATGTGCTATCCCCACAAAACAACTCAGCATGCTCCATCTCTGGGTGCTGGGGGTAAGCAGGACTTTCCCGGCAATTGTGGCTCTTGGCTGCTGTGGTGCCAGGCACCAGAACTGAGAGCAACGGACTGTCTGTCCTGTAGACTCAATGCTCTTGCTGATGGTGCCCAACAGCGAGGAGGAAGGAAGCAGCCTGATTAGAAGGCAGAGGTGAGGAATGGTGGGGGTGTGCGTGTGCTTGGGTGTGGGGGGACATGAAAAGAGGGGAATGAAAGAGCCAGAGGGTGGGGAGACGCAGACAGGGAAGCAGTAGCCGACAGGAGCTGGGGGAAGGGGCAGCAGAGGGAGTTAGGGAGGAGAGGTGGAGGTGTCTGGGTGGTATACAGGTGTGATTCAGGGGGAAGAAGGGTAGGAGTCTGGGTCTGGATAGGGTTAGAGGGAATGGGAGCAGGAGCTGGAGGAAGGGGCTGGAGAAGGTGAGACAGATGTGGTGCGGGACAGGGGAAAAGGGTCAATAAGCACTTAGAGCATACTATCTTCAGGTTTTTACACTGCTGCCCACCATTGTAATGTCTGAGCACCTTCCATGCAAAATCCCCTCCAGAATGTGGAACTGAACCCAGGAGTCCTGAGACTCTACATTCCTCTGCTGTCAGCAAATATGTACGAAACCTACTTTCAAAGTGTGTCTTATCTCCCTCTATGCCCAATCCACGTACTCTGCCTGCTGCTCCTATCAATAACTCTGTTAGCTCAAGTGGCAGAGGTCTGAGAGGATCTAAAGTTTCCAAACCTGCTTGATGACCCGAGCGGGTGTCAGTATGATGCTACATGAAGGAAATTCTGTGCTCTCAGATTTTTTTTTTTTACATGAGGAAACGACATCCAAAACCACTACCTTAAAAGAACATTATTAAGGTTGCAAAGTTGAGCACTCAAAAGTTAGGGAATGTCAGAATTAAGTTTGCCCATACAGCCTTAATCCAGCCCCCTTGTGCATATGGCTTTTGATACAGTGTACATACTATTTTTTTTCCAAAGGATCCCTGCCTCATTCAGTGCTTTGGGAATTAATCAGGTTTATATAGTGAAGGAGGGTGTTATCTCTAGGACTCCTGCCGCACGGTGGAAGGTATGTAGTGAATAAGGCAGGAAACTGGAGGAAGAGAAACAAGATTGCCTGTTCTCAAATGGATAAAGCAGATGTTAATTCCTTTGAAGTTTACACTGCTGGTGTGGAGTCAGGAGTCTGGCTGATCCCATAGGTGTGGTGGGGGAGAAGGACCTAGATGGGAAATGTTAGACAAAGGATTAGGAAACTGTTAAAAAGAGCAGACTGAGGAAGAAAGGTAGTGTCTGCAGTGAAAGAGACGGCAACCAGTTTCCTAGACACTGGGGAACCAGGCAGAGCGATGCAAGAGGAGGGAGGGTGCATGAGAGATTGTGCAGAGGAGGAGGAACTGTGAAGGACTGCATGGAGGATGTGAAAGAGGGACCACAAGAGATCATGCAGAGGAAGTGGAAGGGCCATGAGGGATTTGCGGTAAAAGAGGAAGAACGACGAGGTATCACATGCAGTGGGAGGAAGATCCAGGACTGTGTGGATCATGCGGAGTAGGAAGAGGGACCACACGGGACCATGTTGAGGAGGACGGGGAGGAAGGACAACAAGGGACTGTGCAGAGAAAAGACCACAAAAGATCATGAGGATGATGCTCAGGGGCCAACAAGGTATCACTGGAGGAAGAGGGACCACAAAGGTTTGCTCAGAGAAGCAGGAGGAGGAAGCAGCACGAAGGACCATACAAGGATGAAGAACTGTTGGTAAGAGAACAAATGCAGGTGCCTTTAACAATGGGTGATGAGTAAAGAACAACTAGGTTGAGGAAAGAGATGGCTGCACAGATGAGAGTCGCCCACAGCAACCTCTCAGGAGATGTGTGAATCTTTATTCCCTCGGGTGCTAGGACAGAGCCTTATTTCCTGTTACAGCTAGCACAGGGGAGGGGCTAATACATTTCCCATGTGTCCGAGGCTGTCTCCAGCTTTGGGAGCGACCTTCGGAAAGTGGCTGAAATAGAGAGCACTCATGGCTCCCCTCTCAGTCATGGGTCCACATATGATGATCTGGTTTTAGTGGGTGAACTCACTTCACATACACAAAGCCAGAGGCTCTGTGAAGGTGATGAGCATGGGGGCTAGCAAGTAAAATCCACCCACAACCCAGAGGCAAGATGCAGGTTTGCGGTGCACTGCCCCTCCCCCGCCCCCGGCAGCTATTACTACAGCCTATGGGCTGGAAGAGTGTGTGCTCCAGCATCTCCACCCTGCTTGTGTGGGGCAACAGTGCCACTGGAGACACGTAATAATGGATCTCCTGGTCCATCTACATCGCTGGCCTCTGCAGCACACAGGACAGCAGATGCCTTCATGTATAGCCCTGCTGCACAAACCTATTGCAGCACATTAGCATGGCACATCTTTGCACAGCACTGTGCACCATGGTAATTTTCAGCCAACATGCTCAAAACAGCCTGCATTTTGTGTGTGTGTATTTTCTCGGCTCACGTAGCCATACTCACACTAGCTCTCATTGCACTAGCGTGCTAAAAATAGTCGAGTAATCATGGTAGCAAAGACTGAAGCAAGTGGCAGGAACAGATTAGTCACCTTGAGTACAAACCTGACTGGAACCCCCTGGGTACATACTTAGGGTGGCTAGTCTGTGCCACTGCTTGCTGCTGCCCATTCTACCGCAGCTACACTACTATTTTTAGTGTGCTGGCTTGGTGAGAGCTAGTGCAAGTGTATGAAAACTGGGATTCACACTCTCAGCTCCAAGTGTAGACACAGCCACAGTCCTCAATTAAGTGATCACATACTACTTTTTACCACAAGACCCCTTCCTCATACTGCACAGAAGGAACGTGCTCACTTAATGGGCAGCTATTCAATGGTTTGTGTTATCCTCATCATTCAGCCTGGGCCCCATGAATTATTTACTGCACACTATTTAAACCCGGCTCCAAATACAGAGTAATTAATTTCCTCCTATGGTTTCTATGATGCTCTCACGATAGTATCTGAATGCTTCATACCTAGTAGTGAATGTGTCTTCACAACACCCCTGTAAGGTAGTTCAGTGCTATTATCCCCATTCTACAAATGGGGAACTGAGGCACAGAGAAATTAAGGGTAAAACTATCTAAAGTGTCCACTGATTTTGGATGCCCAACTTGATACACCTCAGACCTAATTTTCCAGAAAACTTAGCATTTTTATAGCACTTTACAAATTAAAAACACAGCTCCAATTGATTTCAGTTGCGGTCATGAGTGCTCTGGACTTCTCCAAATCTGGCCCCAAGTATTTCATGTGGGGCACTCAGAGAGGACCGAGATTCCCTTTTTGTACCAGAATTGTACTAACATGTTCAAACGTTTAGGATTTTGATCTTAGGCAAAAGCATGAAAAAAAAATCTTCCAATTACTATAAGCAGAAGCAACTTATTCACTGACCTGGTTTCATCTTGTAGGTAAACTTATGTTCCGGGCTGTTCAATAGATCAACAAATTCCTTCAAAGCTGCATAAAATGGCTGCACTTTTTCAGCAGGTATGTCAAAAACAGTGTCTCTTGTTGCATTATTATAATTGATACGAACCACCTGGCCTCTGTAATCTACACTGAAAGAAAGAGAGAGAGAGAAATGTATTATCATGTCACTCAACCTTTTAGCATATTTTTGTTTTGGTAAGGACGGGTTCACATTCCCCTTTTAGTTGCTGGCTGTTACAGCACAGTTCAACAATGAAGTGCCGTGCTATGACAAAGTATTGTACATTATTGCATATCAGACTCCTGCTTTCAAGTTTATCAATGGACCAGGGTTTAGGAAGATTAATAATCAAAGTGACTTGAGCTCCTCAATATTTTGGCATTTTTGAAAATCCCACCCTTATTCTGTCTATATAAAAAATCAACACACACACACACACACACACACACACACACACACACACACACACACACACACACAATGTGTGTGTTTTGATTAATAGATTTTTACAGCCAGAAGGGACCATTATGACATCTAACCTGACCTCCTTGTCATGTAACAAGATTAAAAGAAGAGGATAAAACAGCAAGAAAGCCTCTATGTAACATAAGAGTTTTTTCTATCTAGGAGCTTCATAACATGGCAGCATCCCAGTATTAGTACACATTTCATATAGAATTTAGATAGAAGACCAACTGAAGGATATCAAGAGAAGGTTAGTATGGTTGCTTTGAGTTCCTGGAGGGTGGAAAGAATGAGTAGGGAAAGTTGAGACAATGATAAATTCAATAATAAAAATAATAAAGAATAACTGACACATTGTAGTACAACATAATTCAGTTGATAAGACATAATAATTAAAGACAAAATTGAAACACTGTTTTCCCACAAGGTGGCAGGCATAGACCCTCTAACATCTTTCTGCAAGAGAAACAATGAAAGATGCAAATAAAACTTTTTCATTCAAGCAAATTGTTGCTATGCAACTAGTACTTAATTTGTAATGAAAGAGTTGCTGGGGTTCAAACAATTTTTTTACATTCATAACTAATGCAGCAAGCCCAGAGGTGTCAGGGCTATGAACTGCCATGCCCAGAGGTACTGGGGCTCAGCCCTGGCAAGCCCAGGCACAAATTAAGCACTGTGTGCAACCCTGTAATTCCTGGTGAACCAGCAATATGGTATGAGCTACTACTGGGATTCTATTAGATATAATCACACCCTTGACTGTTACTCACTCTATAATCCTCTGTTTAGACTGCATAGTGAAATCACAGTAGTCGACCCCAACATCCGTGAAGTCTACAAGGGTGGAGGAGAGGATCTGAAAGGCTTGAGGATTTTGCTCCTTCAGCTTGTTGGATACATGAAATCCATCTACAACTTCACTTTCACCTCCAGTAGCTGCTTGTTTTATACAATGAAGAAACTGAATCTGTAACAAATTAACACCTCATTACAGGAAGAAATAGCCTGGATATTTAATAATTCATTGTCATCAGTTCATTCATCTGTCCTGTCATTTAAAAAATATCCTAAAAGACTAAAGGACCTGTATCCCCATTGTATTACCCCAGTTTCACACCAGTCTGAGTCTACTGTCACAATGGGGTAAAACTTAAGTAACAAGGTGGTGAATTAGGCCTAAATCACAAAGCTCTGGTTCCATAAATTTCTTCTGGCCTGAGTCAGGTTGGTACAACTGGTGATTATTGCCATATAATTTAAACACACACTGTGGTCATTACTGCCTCTCTAAATATAGGAAATTATTTTCCACTTGCAGAAATGACATAATTAGGTGTGAAAAATGTGCTCATCAAGGATGTCAGTATGTGTCACTGGCTCATTGAAGACAGCAGGTCTAAGATATCTACAGCAATAATGGACCCTCAGGATACATACACTTCTGTTTATGTTGTGTTCAGAGTTCTCAAAAAATTGGACAAGATGGAGCTGAAGGGCCAAATTCTGCTCACAGTTGCACGAATGTAAATCTGGGATAACACTATTGGGCCCAGTGTTGCTCCTACTGATGTTAATGGCAAACTTCCAGTGACATCAAGGAGAGCAGCAGCAGGTCCACTTTCTGCAGTTTACATCAGTGTAACTAAACACAGAATTGGACCATCATTTACATGAATGCAACTTTCACTGAAGTCATTGAGGACTGTACCCAAGTAATGAAACTGAGTTAGATCTAAAGAAAATGGGAAGTAAAACAGAGAAGTGAGGGGAAGGAATGGATTCAGGTATTGTTAGCTGCCCCTGTAGCATGGGGTGATGTAATATGGCAGTGATTATAGGGAGAAACAGGGGTAACTGTTGAGGCAGAAGAAGAATCAATCAACATAACTGCAAATGAAATGAAGTTTAGATTCTAAATACAACCTGCCTTAGATAAGGGATGGTGTATGGCTGCACTGGCCCAGGCACAAATGTGGTTCAGGGACACTCAATTCATTCCCTGTTCCTTCCATGTGCTGGAGAGGGAGTACATTACTTCATCCTTTTCACAGAAGAGCTTGCTCCCACTCCATATCCCAGACCAGCTATTCTGGACAGAAAGGTCCAGAATAGCTGATAGAGAGGTCCAGAATTGCTGGTAGAGGTGCGCAGGAGACAGGATACCCATTTGCTAACAGCGGGGAGTACTAGGAAAGCAGCTTCTTCTCTCACCATCATGGCGAGAATTGCAATCTGTGCATGAGCAAACAGGGGCATACATGGTCAGGGAAGGACTGTGACACTCTAACCCATAAGTGATAATGGCCCTCTGACAAAACTCCAAGGGATGCAAAATGAGACATTAGCTTTCCAGTCTAGAGAGATGGAAACTCCAACCAAAACTAGTACTCATCTTTAACAGGATATCATGTGAATGAGATCAAAACTTTGGAAAAATCCTCAGATATTTTTATAGGTGACCTCTAAAAATTAATCATCATCCATTTAGGGCCATACTTTCTGTTTTAGATATTACCTAGATACTGTATAATAATTAGGAAATTAGCACAATCATGCATTGTGAGCCTAGATGGCAAATATGTTTCTAATGTGCTTAAAAACAATTTTTATTTTAAACTAGGTTTTTAGAATTGAACAGGTTGTGTTTTTTTTTTAATGTTTTATGGCAGTACGTGATTTTGTGGTTTTGGCACAGATAAGATAGTGAGCTAAGGCACATCTGTTTCCTATTAATGAACTACCACTCTATTCCTATTCCACATTAACCAACAGCATCTAAATGAATGTTCAGCAGGTAGCACATTAATGTGAAAGATTTGGCACCTCTTCAGAAATAGATCATGCTGGCCCATTCATTTCATCACAAAATGATTACTTCAAGCCTTGGGGGGGGGGGGGTAGGGAGGAATTGCAAGTATGAAATTTGAAGGTACAAATGTTTGCTGTATCTTTAGTTAGTTATACATTCTTTGTGGTACTCTCTTTCAGGTCTGTTGTGAATTATGTGAATCATGTTGTGCTGTCATGGTGACTCAGAGTTCCACAGGTTAACTGGGTAAAATGTTTTTCCTGTTATTAGTTTAAAGTTGTTGCCATCCAGTTTCACGGGATGTCCCCTTGTTCTTGTATTATGCTTAAGTAAACAGAAGTGTTGATTTACCTTCTCTCACTCATAAGTTTTATATCTTGATCATCTCTCCTATTTGTCTCCTCTCTGAATTAAACATACCTAGAATAAATTTTTCAAAGCTGCCTAAGGTATGCCCAGTTCCCATTAGTTTTAATCTTTTCAATCTCTCCTCATGTGGAAGTATCCTCAGGCCTCTAATAGTTTTCTCTGAACTTCTGTTTTTGTTATATTATTTTTCAGATAAGGTAGTCGGAAATGGACACAGTATTCAAAGTGAGGAACCCTATTGAATTGGATAATGGCACTGTAATATATTCAATATCATTTTTGTGCAACATACCACATCCTAATATGCAGTTTGCTCTTTTTGACTTGCACATTACACAGAGGTTTTCACTTAGCTGTCTACGGGGCTCCCTGATCTTTTTACTAAGTAATTACAGTTAATTCAGTCTCCAGTAGTATGAGTATTTCAAATGTCTCCTTCCAATGTGCACTACCTTCCATTTGTCAAAAGTGAATTGCATTTGCCATCCCTGCTGCCCAGTCAGCTGGTTTTGTTAGGCCACTTTGGAGTACCTCACATTCTTCCCTAATCTTGATTAACTTAAATCATGTTGTATCTTCTTACTGTTCACTGACTTTTCTAGATCATTAATGAATATTTTACACAACATTAGCACTATTATAGCTCAATGGCTCACCTTTTGCCACATGAAAAACTGACTATTTATCCCTGCTCTTTTCTGTCTCAGCCAACTTCTAATCCATGACACAGAACTTTACCTTCACTCCATGACTAGTTAATTTCCATAATAGCTTCTTGTAAGGGACTTTGTCAAAGTTTTATGAAAGTCCAAATAAATTATATCTACCAGTTCTCCTTCATCTACTAGTTTGTTGACTCAAAGAATTCCAGCAGACTGGAGCAGCAATTTCCCCCATTATAAACATTTGATGCTGTAAGAAAATTAATGACTTACAAATGCATGGAAGTAAACATCACTGCTATTGATTTTACTTGATCCTCCCTGTGCCATCTCATTCAGTACAATTTAGGAACAAGTTTTCCTTAAATATTATTTTAAATTGTTTTCAACTTCTAGAGAAAGTGATGCGGTGACTTGATCTCAGTCCATAAATACCACAGAGAATGTATCTGGTACAAGGGAACCTTTTCATTTAGCAGACAACTGCATAAAAAAGCCAATGGCTGGAAGCAGCAATTAAATTCAAATTGGATATAAGATGCAATTTTTAATTTCAGTAAGGGTGATTAAGCGCCTGAGCAGCTAACTAAAGGAAGTGGTGAATTCCCCATCATTTGGAGTATTTAAATCAAGACCAGATGTCTTTCTAAAAAGATATCCTCTAGTTCAGCTACAAGTTACTGGGTTTGATAGTGTTCACTCATATAGCAGGAAAGAATAATTAGCTCCATTGTAGGAATTACTAGTGTAATTCTATGGCCTGTTATATGGGAATTCAGACTAGATAATCATAATTCTTCCTATGGATTGATGAACTTTAAAAAACCGGAAATTTTACATATATCTAAGTTTTGCTCAGCAGACACATTACCTGTCGCTTTTTCAAACTATAGGAACAATGAGATTTTCCCCCTTGCTTTGTGGAAAAGTCAGTAGGTTCTCCTTACCCCAGGAGGATGCTGCAGAACAGGGTAATCAGTGTGAAAACTTAGCTTCCCAGATGTGTAAGCCACATTATTAGCATCCCTTTTGTCTTCCACTTGCCAAGTAGGGCTTTACAATGAAAGAAAAAAAAAAAGAAGAGGAAACATGTTAAAGCCATCTGCCATTTAAGCCAGCAAAGTACAATGAAACTATGAAATCTCAATACAAAAGAGCTATTAAAAATTGCTGGATATAGAATTATTGTTATAATGAGAAGGGACAAACAATGAGTCACCAGTGCCCTTCACAGCACTGAACTGGCCATTTCAGCAACTGTGCAACAGAAGCAATCACTTCAAAAATGATGCTAGTGTGTGTGGAGTAGGCCAGACAAGTTGCCCCCAGTGCTATATCTCTGAGGGTATTGCCTTTGCTTTTCTAGTAAAAGCTCTGAGGACTGTATTGTGCCAGCATTCAGCAGAAGGACAGGACAGAACCTCAGCTGGTGTAAATCAGTGTAGCACCTACTGGAGTTGCACAGGTGTAAGGGAGGACAGCATTTTTGGCACGGTTTGTTCAATTTGGTCATTTCCATTTCCCCAAAGAAAAAGTGGAAGCACTGTAAGTTGCATTTCTTTTTCAAAGATTTTTAAGCCTTTAAATGACAGGGAAAATGTCAAATACAGAGTACCCTTTACAACATGGCCTTTCCCATATTCCCTTAAAAGAAAAATCTCTGGATGAAAGACGTCAAGATATAATTTCTTGCTGTTCCCTTCGTACTTTCTGAGAGCTAGTACCATTATTTTTCCTCTACATTTTTATTAAATTTCAAGATGGATGAACTAAAATCAACATGAGTCTTGCTGACAACAGCAACAAATTATATATTGTAAGGTGGTTGAGTACAAAGACATACAGTCATCAGATTTGCAATGCAGTCAAAATATGTTTCAAATGACACACCATGCAGCAAAGTCTAAGGCCAAAAACCACATGTTCTGGTTTGCACAAAGTTCATACAATTGAATATAGTTCATGGCAAACGTGTAATATAGATCCAGACATTTGTCTGGGAAGTGTAAGTCAACATATGCAGGCCATGCAATCACAGAAGAAGACATGATTTAAAAAGAAAAATATGAAAACTCATTTCCCCTTGTGAATTACTGCAGACTAAATATACAAAACACAAGCCATTTGAAATATAGAGATAATGCTTATTTTTTATAAAATGCCCAGGTTAAACTTGAAAACACAGTTCAAAATGATTTATATATTGTATAAAAATTCTTGTCCCAAAGCAAAAGTTTTTGTAAGTATAGGTATGCCAAGAACTGCTAAAGGCAGGTTTATAAAATTGCTGGGAAAAAAACCCAGAATATTAACAAATGTGTTCAACTATCATGGGGAAATTCATTTAATTATATGGTATAGTAAGTATTCATCACATGTGACTTCAGTTCTAAAATATGAAGACCTCAACCACATTTGCACAGTTACTAATTTTAAGGCCAAAAAAAAAAAATGTGTTATGTCATCCTTGTCATTAGTGTTGAGGGTAGCTTTGTCGTGGTAGGCTCCAGAGCAATTTAATGGCTCCAAAGCCTTTTAATCTACTGTAATGCTCTTGCTTCTGAGAAAATATATACCTCTGGTGAAATAAAAATACATTATAGAATTACTGTGACATTTTACAAAAAGGCACGTTCATTCTGTTAAACAAGGTATGCTATGGGAGTTAATCCACTGGAACATTCCTTCCATGTAAGGAGATTCTATCAAAGATCAAGTTACTAACTTATAGCCAAATATTGATTAAATGCAAAAAGCTACATTAATGCACTGTCCAGCTTGAAAATGTAATGCACAGAAGTTAGCAAATTCAGACCTTAACATTGCTAAAGAGGTAGAGCTCTGTCACAGGGAGAGTTGCTGTCTGATGAGAGTGCTGGTGCAAGAGGTAAAGGAGGAAAATATGGGTAATCCCAGAGGACTCTGATCCCTCAACAGAGAACAAAATAGGCTGGGAATGGTCTATGGATCAGTAACAAAGGTCAGATTCCAACTTCAGTTGCACAGCCTGCATGGCAGAAAATCAAGCACTGTGCAGGTACAACAATCGTGTGTGTTTCATAGCAATACATACAGCTCACCTGAGATGAGAAGCTAGCCTGTTAGCTGTGACTGGGAATCATTGGCACTGAAATCTGCAACCATACTGAAACTCAGGCCACAAAAGGTTCTGGAACCCAAGCCCAGTTTAGCAAAAATATACCACATTTTTGTATCTGAAATAGGAAAACTCAGCATGAGGCAGGGGTTCTCTGGCCATTGAAAAACAGAATAAAATATATATTTAAAAATATTTTGACTTAGAGGAAAATAACATAGTGAGTTTCTGACTTTATAAGAGGTACTAGAGAGACTACGGGCTTGTCTAAATGGTGGCAAACCACACAAAGAGGCATAATTTGTGAAGTGCTCTAATGGGTTGTGCTGTAATTCCCTATGTTGGCACACTACCTACTTCGCATTGGTGTAATTCTGTTTCAGCTACACCGGGAATCTCTTATATATCTATTTGTCCAAGCTTTCTCAACTGACTGAAGCAGGAAACCCCGATTCTTAGCCAATCATCTTCTGCGTTACAGCTGCAGTATCTGGGGAGTGCAATTTGTCTGATCCACTCATCCAGAATATCAGTGACTGAATGGAAACCCTGTATAGTATAGTGACATATATAGAACTTGGAGGGAGCAGCACAGGTTGAAGAAAAAAGAACAGTTTGGAAGATGCACCAGGAAGTCAGTCTGTGCACCTGTGGCTGGCATGCAGACCGCGGCATCTCTGTAAATAGATATCCTAATAGTCAGTTTAGTTTTAGAAACAGGGAGTCCTCTCAAGTTATTATCCAGCACGCAGTACATAAAACATATAGTAACCTACATACTTTGGTAAGGACACCTTTAAAAATGAGTGACGATAAATAAAAATAAATGTACTTGGTTTCTGTGCTCTGAAAGGACATCTGGGCAAGATTAAAGACTTGTGCTTCTTTCTTCATTTGTGGGAGCTGCATTTACTGTTGTTCTGTTATTGGGAGAATCTGCAAACTGGTTGGGATATTTATTTAGCAAGGCTGCCAATCTGAAATTTATAATTTTGTTTCTAACGTTCGTTAGACCTTTGGATTTGAGTGCCATTAAAATAACAAGGAATTATTAGTAATTATTATTTTATTATAGTTTTTTTTTAAAAACCCTCAACATTACACATAAGCACTAACTGAACTTCTTTGTTAGGGTCTAAGAAATTGATTGTAAAGTCTTTCGCTAAGTCTTTTGCTAAGAACTGCATGTTCAATAGGTTCTTACTAAAAAATGTGCAGTTGGGCTGCATATGGAAATGCCAACACCAGATGCTGAAATTTCCTAATAATTCATGTCTCAAAGTGAAACGCATTAAAACTGGGGGGAAAGCTGCTAAATGTAGCCAAAACTATGGTCAGGAGAGAAATGAGTAAGTGTAACTGAATATTAAGTCCCCCTCTATTCTATGATCTTTTAAATGAATTCCAACTACAAATGACATATAAAAATCTTGAAAAAGACTAATGTGCTACATTATATAGCCTAACAAACATAATAGATATATAAAAGACAGTTACCTTTTCCGTAACTGGTGTTCTTCAAGATGTGTTGCTCATGTCTATTCTACAATAGGTGTGCATGCTTGCCACGTGCACCGGTGCTGGAAGTTTTTCTCCTAGCAGTACACATAGGGGAGCGCCACAGTGACCCCTGGAGTGGCGCCTCCATGACGTGATATAAGGGGCACTGCTCGCTCCCCCCACCCTCAGTTCCTTCTTACCAGACAACTCCGACAGAGGGGAAGGAGGGTGGGATGTGGAATAGACATGAGCAACACATCTCGAAGAACACCAGTTACGGAAAAGGAAACTGTCTTTTCTTCTTCTTAGAGTGATTGCTCATGTGTATTCCACAATAGGTGATTCCAAGCTATGTCCATTGGAGGTGGGTAGGAGTTCACAAATTCTTGGGACGGAGTACAGTCCTGCCGAACCCGGTGTCTTCCCTGGTTTGGGAGAGATCGCATAGTGCGAGGTGAACACGTGAACTGAAGACCACCTGACAGCCCTACAAATGTCCTGGATGGGGACGCGGGCCAAGAAGGCAGCCGACGAGGCTTGCGCCTGAGTCGAGTGAACCTTCACAATTGGTGGCAGAGCGATTCCCGCCAGGTCACAACAAGTACGGATGCATGAAGTGATCCGGTTGGAGAGCCGCTGAGTGAAGATCGGCCGACCTTTCATGCGCTTGGCCAGGAGATGAACAGTTGCGAGGACTTTCTGAACAGCTTAGTCCACTCCAGGTAGAAAGCCAGAGCCCATCTCACATCCAGCATGTGGAGATGGCGCTCCTCACTGGACGCGTGGGGCTTGGTGCAGAGGACCGGTAGAAAAATGTCCTGACCCATGTGATAGGCGGAGACCACCTTCGGGAGGAACAAAGGGTGTGGGCGGAGCTGGACCTTATCCTTATGAAACACCATGTATGGGGGCTTGGAGGTCAGGGCCCTGAGCTCCGAGACCCACCTGGCCAACGTGATTGCAACCAGGAAGGCCACCTTCCATGAGAGGTGGGACCAGGAGCACATGGCTAGCGGCTCAAACGGGGGCCCCGTGAGACGGGCCAACACCAGGTTTAAGTCCCACTGCGGGACTGGGGGCCTAAAATACGGGAAGAGACAATCCAACCCCTTAAGGAATCGGCTAGTTATAGCATGGGAGAATACCGTGTGGCCTTGCACTGGCGGATGGAAGGCCGATATCGCCACCAGGTGCACCTTGACTGACGAGGGCGCCAGGTCCTGGGCTCTAAGGTGGAGGAGATACTCCAGAATAAGATGGATCAGGGCGGCCACTGGGGAAACACCCCGCTCGTCCGCCCATCTGGAAAATTGAGACCACTTTGCCAAGTAGGCTCGGTGCATGGAGGGTTGCCTGCTTTTTAGGAGGACATATTAAAGCCCTTCTGAGCACGTCCTTTCGTCCCTACCTAACCATTGAGCAGCCACGCCATGAGGTGGAGTGCCGCTAGGTTGGA